AGAGAGACAGAGAGAGAGACAGAGAGAGAGACAGAGAGAGAGAGAGAGACAGAGAGAGAGACAGAGAGAGAGACAGAGAGAGACAGAGAGAGAGAGAGCAAAGGCAGGCAGGCTGAGGGTAGGGTGAGACAGAAGGCAGGACAGGGATGGTTCCTTGTTGAGTGATGAGGGAAAGTGTCAGGACCCGGCATGGTGGCACACACCTGTAATCCCAGCACTTTGGAGGTCGAGGCTGGAAGATCACCATGAATTCGAGTGAGTTACACAGTGAGTTCAAGGCCAGCCTGAACTGCATTGTGAAACTCTATTAACAACACAAAAAAGTACCATGCAGGAGAAGAAGCAGGTGACAAGAAGGTAGACACAGAAAGTGTTGAGAGAATGGCCCACTCAAGGACAATGGCAAGAGCGAAGGCCTGGAGGTGCACGCCTCAGGAGGCTGAGGCAGGAAGACAGCTGAGAAAGTGGAGGCCAGTCTGGGATAACAGCAAGATCTTGTCTCAAAAAACCAAAAAAAAAAAAACCACCTTAAACACACAAAGGCTTGCCCTCACCTCCAGAGGCCAGTGTGATGGACCCCAGGAAGCGGGGTGGAGTGGCTAAAGGGCTCTGGTTCCAGGCTGCCCTTCCTCCACCCACTTAGGGTGTGTGTGTGCATGGCGGGTGGCACTGGGGACAGAACCAGGGCCCACCTGAACGGCGGTGGAGCTCTGTCTGGGCCCCCCAAGGGGCTCCAACCCTATACAGTTGCCATGTCTGACCTCCTGAGGGTCAGGCACTTTCTACACTGCTTTACAGTATTAACTCTTTGTGCCCTGTAACACAGCTACAAAGAGGTAGCTTTAACTTCTTACAGATGGAGAACCAGGCAGGGGTGTTACACAACTCAGCTGAGGTCCTGTGGCTTCTCCGTTCCCTGTCGCTGGGGTCCTAGCAGAGCAGTCCTCTCAGGGTTCTAGCAGAGGATACCCTGACGCCAGGAAACCCATTCCAAGGGCAGAGGGGGGTCCCCAGGAGCAGAGGAGGAGGAGGAGGAGGAAGAGGAGGAGGAGGAGGAGAGAAAGAGGAGGCCTTGAGAGGCAGAGCAGCACCCCCCCCCCCAGCCCAGAGCAGCACAGGATGCGTCAGGCAGCAGACTTGGGGCTCTGCAGACCCAGAAGCTCGGACTGCAGAGGCGTCAGCAGCCTGCAGGGCCCGCAGCCCACCCAGCGCAGTGGTGCATACCTGCATCTCAGGCACTCCAGAGGCCGAGAAAGGAGGATCACAGAGTGAGACTGTTTCCTAATAAACTGGGCTGGAGGTGTAGCTCAGGGCTTCAAGGGTTCAACCCCCTCCAAGGGCAAAATATGAGATCTCACAAGGCTCCCAGTGTCAAGGTTGGCCCCAAGAGCAGCCAGGGAACCCCAAAAATGAAACAATTGTCTTAGAGGATGGAGAGGAGCCGCAGGCTGCCCTTCCTTGCCCTCCCACACTCCACTCACCCAGGGCCCCTCCCGCAGCCAGCCCGGCCCTCGCCCACCTCGCTCTCCTCCTCCTCTTCCGACTTCCATCCATGTGAGCCAGGCCCACGCCCGTGCCGGTGCCAGGGCAGCCGCTGAGCCCAGCCTCCTTCACACCCGCCAACACACACGCAGTCACATACGCACTCGGCCCTGTCTCAGCCACACGCAGCCGCGGACGCACTCGTTTGCGTCTGTGTGTGACAGAGGAAGGCACTGAAGGAGGGCTGGCGGCCCGGCCTGAGGAAGCCACCTGTCACCCGCACCGCTCCTCATTTGCGATCTGAGGTCCTGTCCTGAGACGACCTCCTGAGCAGCTGCTAGGCTCAAACAAGTTGATGTCACAGAAGTGGCACGTGGCCCCAGGCCCTTGTCCACCCTCACAGACATGGACCCAGCCTGCTATTCCAATTGCTTGGGTCACAGAGAGAGAAGTGGAGCAGCCACCCCCAAAGGTCACACTGAGTGTCAAGGCAAAGGACAAAGGCTTTCTCCTAGGGTCTCTGCCACCCAAGGTAACTCTGAGAGGCCCTTGATGGCAACTCAAGTGTCACTCCCCACAGGGCATGGAGGCACACGCTTGTCATACCAGCACTTGGGAAGCTGAGGCAGGAAGACCACTTCATTTGAAGCCAGCCTGGGCTAGTGAGCTCCAAGCCAGCCTGGATTACACAGTAGGACTCTGTCTCAAAAAAAGTGTCACCCACTGAACCTAGAGGGCAGAAGCATACAGGCAGAGAACCTGCCATCCCCAGGCTCCTGCTGCAGGGGGTGAGGTGGGCCTCAGGATCTGTTAGCTAGGGCCTCCCAGGGCCAGGGCATTGCTGCAGGGCAGGAGGAGGAAGAAATGAACCAGGAATCCCTCTGAGGTTTGTCTACCAGAACAAGAGCCCCCAAAGGGAAAGGTAGGGAGTACTGAGCAGGAAGCTATAATATCCTCACATAGAGAAGATGGCTATGTGACCTGTCCTAAATTACCCAACTTGTAAGTAGGGATGGGAGCAGGATTAGAACCCAGTGCCACCTTAACTCTAACGTGCTGAATGTGCTTTGAATAAATATCCCGCCTCTGCCCCTTCCAGAATGACCCAAGTGGGGTCCTATCAGGTGCAGCCAGGAGAGGTTCCACATTTAGGACTTCCAGGACAGAAGCTCTCCTGTCCTCCAAGGGGACAAACGGGATTCAAATAAAGAATTGGTAAAATAAGTAGTGGGTAGTGGAACCCTCGCCCCGACAAGACAGGCTCTGTCCCCGCAGGTATTCTGCCCCCCAGCCCCTTGGTGAGATTTGCTGGAATCCAGGCCCACTCCCAATCCGACGACCGCAGCCGTGGCCAGGGCTGTCTGCACCGCTAGAGGGCAATGTCGGTTCCTGGGTGCCAGCTTCAGGCCTGAGCGGGCGGCCTCCGTTAGCCACCGCCCTCAACTCCAGGGCGTCCACAAACACAGGGGCTCCAGGCAGGGTTCCTGGGGAGGGTCGCGCCTCATTCCCAACTCCTGAACTCGCCCTAGACGCCGCGCAGCTGCCTTCCGCTCTGTGCGGGGTTCAAGTGTGAGAAAGTTTAGGGCGCCTGGGTTCCACCCGGCACCCCGCGAGGATTGCGTGGGAGGACGGCGAGTGCGAGCTGTGTTTCTGATTGCCCTGGAGCGCGAGTAGACGCTAGTAGCTGCCTGCGTGCGCGTGTGTGCTACGGCCCCGCCTGGAAACCGGTGCGCGGGGAGCGCGTGAGCGTGCCGCCCGCGGGGCCACGTGTATGTGCACGCGTGTGCGTGCCCGGGCTGCGGTGGCCTGGGGGACGCACGCAGTTCGCGCGCTGCAGCTCTGAACCTGTGCACACAAGCATACGCGGGGGGCCGGCGAGGGGCTGGCTGCACCCCCAGCCCAGGCGGGAGGCTCGGCCGGCCCAGGCCTTGGCTCTCCCGAGCGCTCGGGCATGGGCGCGGGGTGGGGTGCACGACCGTGACGGCGGAGGCCCGTGGGTCAGGACATTGCTGGTTCCGAGGAACCGACTTTTGGACTTGGCCCGTGACTTTATGGTCTCAGCCGGGCGCCGGGTGTCACGCGCGCCTCAAGGAGTCAGCACGGGGCCTCGGACTGACTTCTGTCGGGGCCTCTCCGATGGTCGAGCCTTGAGATCACAGGGCTCAGCTCCGCGGGTGCTGAGGGGACGCCAGGGCCGTGCGCCCGTCGTGGGGAGGAGCTGAGGCTCGGGCCCGCGGGATGCGAGGTCCCTGCCCCCCTTTGCCTTGCGCTCCGTCCTGCTCCAGGGCCCTGTCCAGCCTGCGACCCGAGTTTCATCCCTTGGCCCAGGTGGCCTGGGGCGCCCGGGGGACTACTCCCTTCTACACCGGGTCGGGATCCTGTGGCTGCCCCACACCCGCCCTCACTACCACCTAGGCGTGGACATCCCGCTTTCGGGGAGGACATCCCTGCCCTGCGCGGACTTCGGGGAGCTGGCACTCAGGCGCCAGATCTCGAGCTTTGACGCTGTAACCCCGAGATCTGGGGAGCAAAGCTGTGGCCCCTGGATCTGCCATGGTGCGGGAGAGGAAACTCCAGAGTCGCGGGGAGGGAGAGGGGCGCGAGGGCTTGGCCCGACTTCGTGCCCAGCGCTCCGGCCGCGAGGCCCAGGTGAGGGCTCGGGTCGGGGAGGCTCGGAGCCCGGCGGGGTGGACGTGGTCCTGGCGGGCTGGGGACTACGAGGACCGGTGCCTTCCGTCGGGGCTCAAGGTCGCCGATGGAGGACTCGTGCGCTGGAGGGCTGGCGGCACCGGGGCGGCCCGGGAGAAAGGGGGGGGCGGGGAGACGGGCGGGAAAAGGCTCCTGGGTCTCGGCGTCCGGCACCCCGCCGAGCTTCGGGGGGCTGGAGAGCAGGATCCCGACCGCAAGGCGACCCCGGGGGCGCTGGGGGCGGGTGCTCCTCGGCCCGGCCCCATGGGCGTCTTTTCCTGGAGGCCACCTTAAGGTTTCGAGACCCCGACCTCTACCAGCAGGGTCCTTGGCCGCGGGGCTCTGGGACCCGCACCGCGCTCGCTCCCCAAGCAGCCCCCGTCGGACCCAGCTCTGGGGGCCCTCCGGGATCCCGGGACCCGCGTCCTCGCCTCCCAAGCCCCCGCCCCCGCGCGCCGCGGAGTCACTCACCGCCGCCGCGCCCGCTGCACTTGCCCTGACAGACGGCGGCACGGACGCGAGGCCCGCGGGCCGGAGCTGGCCGGGCCGGACCAGGGGCGGGACGGGGCCGGTGCGGAGGGGCGGCCCCTGCTCCGCCTGCGGCTCCGGCGCTGTGGCTCCGACTCGCGCTCACGCTCGCACTTTTCCCCGAGCCGCGTGATGTCACGGGGAAGCAGCCAATAGCGGAGGGGCCACGCCGCCCGCCCCAGCCGGTCACCGAGCGGCGACGCGCGGGGGTCACCACCCGGGGTGTCGGGAACCCCAGCGGTCCATGTCCCTCCCCGGTGCCAGCCTGCAGCTCGGTGCTCGGGGCGAGGCAGCGCCTATAGTCAGCGGCGCTGGTAGTGGGGGGCGCTGCCCTCCGGGGGCGCGGGTGTCCGCGTTGTCATGGGGACGCGGCGCCCCCTCGCGGGCTGGGAAGGAAGCAGAAGGCCGGGTCCTCTACGCGCCCCGCCTCCGCCCTGACCGCGCACCCTGAACCCCGTATTTTCGTGCTTTGGGGGCTCCACTCCCATACGTGGTCACGGCCATGAGTGCGGGGGTTTGGCCTCAACAGGAGGCTGAGGGTGCGTAGGGTGCGCTGAGCCCCACGTTCCGTCGGGGCAGCCTCTGGGCAGTGCGTTGGGCGCCGAGTAGCAGACCAGAGGGCGCCGTCGGGGCCTGGGAAAGCGAGGAGAGGCCAGGCGAGGGTTTGCTGGGTGGAGGAGCTCCCAGCACGGTCAGCGCCCCTCCGCAGCTCGTCCCTCGCCCCACGCCCCTGGCCGAAAGGATGCGCGCTCCTGAGACCTCGTTGTGCATAGCGGACTCCTTGCGGGCTGCCACGGAGGGGAGCTATGTGCCCAAGGTCACCTGAGACGGCCCAGATAGGACCTCGGGGACAAGCCGCCGGTCTCCCAGATCTCCCGGAGCCGCACCACTCGCAGTCTCAGAGCGCCGGGCCCGGGATGCCTCGGCTGATATGGGCGGCTTCAGCACCTCGGAGAGCGCCCGCCGCCCGGCAGCAGCGGCTCTTGAGACAGCCCTGTCCCCTCCAGCTGGGTTGACGCCAAGACCTGTCAACCCCAGCTCTGAGAGCGCAGACAGCCCATTAACCTCAAAGACGGCTGGTGTCAGGTCTTGGAATAACAACCAAGTACCGCCCTCCGCTACCCGCCCCGAGGGCTGGTGGGGCACTGGGGGAAGCGGAGGCGGACTGAGGGGAGGAGAGGCAGAGAGGCGGCAGCCGGCAACCTCTCGGGAGAGAAGAGGCAGGAGCTGAGTCGAGCCGGAGCGGCGGGACTCTTGATGCAGGATTGTCCATGCTGAAGGGGAGTTGGAGGTCAGTCCCCCGGTGCTCCTGAGTGCCCGGGCTGCCTGGTCAGGACCAGGAACTTCAGGGCCAAAGCCAGCTGCCTGGGCTGTCGTGAGAAGCCATCTTTCCTTATGAGTGAACTGTCCACCATGATCCTCCTGAAGGTGAAAGCAGAACTATTGCTCTTGCCCCACTTCACAGAGGAGGAAGGAGGCTCGGCTGGGCTGGTGTGTGTGACAATGAGGACTACCTGCTGAGATAGTCCAGGAGCAGGATGTTCTTAAGAAAGTGCCAGTTTGGGGGGTAGGACCTTAGATGTAGCGATGGGGAGATCAGCAAGGATGAGGCCTGTAGGCCCCAGAAACCAGAACCATCCGTTTGCTGTCTTGAGCAGTTTCAGAAGCTGCCACGCAAAGCCACGCATTTCTCTAAAATGCCTGCCACAGGCCTTCACCTCCCTACCCTGCAACCCCAGAACCCACAGAGGAATGCTGGAAAGCTGTGTCAGGAACCAGGAGGCCTGGTCCACTCCTGCTGTTTGGTGGATGGACTCACTGGGTCCCACTGTCTAAAAACATGGGACTTTTCCAAATATTTCCTCAGCTCCAAAGGGGCTGTGTCAGTCTCTGGCTCTGGAGCTGCTGCTTCCTGGTGGACAGCTCTCACACGGCTCATGCGGGAAGACAGGTGGACTGTGGATCCAGCCTGCATCAGAGCCAGTGGGGGTGGGCTGGGCAGGCCCAGAGCTGGGCCACCTTGTTTCCAAGGCCACCTCACAGCCTTCTTCCCAAAGCCACACAGAGCACTTACAGTGCTGCAGCGTGTGCTCCAGAACCGCGCCTGACCTGGGTTCAGCCAGACGCTCTCTTCTGGTCTCCTCCCACTGCCAGGGCCTGTCCTCCTGACTGGGTGAGTGATTCAGACCACAGTGCTAAGAGCACTGTAAGAGGTTGACCGGCAAGGGCCGGGGAGATGGCTCAGTAGGATAAGCGCTTCCCTGGCAAGTGTAAGGGTAAGCGAAGCCCAGCAAGGGTGACTGTTGCACCCAAGGTCCCATATCTATTAGGCATCTTTCAGCCCTCACTCCAGGGATTTAAATGTTCTTGGGTAACTGGGCAACTGCACATCATTTTGAACCACTTCTTTGCCCAGTCAACTCTTGGTTTTGTTGTCGCTGGGGCAGGACTATAGTCCTGCACACCCACCCCACAGCATCTGGGGTAGGGTTGGGCATACAAAAGTTACTCACGGGAACTGGCTGTGGTGGTGTACCCATGTAATCCCAGCCCTCTGGAGGCCGAAGCAGGATTGCCACAAGGCCAACCTTAACTACATGGTGAGACCCTAACTTAAAAAAAAGAAATACATAGAAGGAAAACACATGCTGGCCAGAAGGCTGGAGTCACTCAGGTATTCCCCAAAGCAAGTGCCTCCTCTCCCTGGGACCTAGAGAAGCCACATCCTGAGGACAGAGCAGGCCTCTCAGTCACTGTGCAGAATGCACAGGGTAAGGGCAGGCCCAAGCAGCCAGCAGTGGTGCCTTTGGGTGCTTGCGAGCAGAAGTCAGTCCTCCACCCCTCCAGGGTTGGGAAGTGGCTGATGTGCAGCAGGGTGGTGTAGAGAAGCCATGAACAGCACCGGTGGCAGCTCTGTCCACACTGCTCAGGCTGGGGCCAGACAGGACGCCCATCAGAGAGCAGCCCCCTTGGCGTGTGGAGAGCAGCTGGGGCTGCCTCAGCACAGTGTGCCCCGCCCCCCCTGCCCAGACAGACAGGAGCCTGGTGAGGGGCATGGCATTGTTTTAATGACATAATCTTTGGTGTTTCCCTCATTAGCAGTAGACCATCCCCTCTCCTCCCACCACAATGTGTCTAGGATGAGTGACAAACAGAAAGAAAATCACAATTTCATACTGAAAACAAAAAGATCATAGCCTTGATTCTCCACTAGAAACTACACATACAGTTCAAGATTCCACATGCAACACCTTAAATCACAGACCAAGACCTCACATTCTGACCTGGGCTTGAGCCCCTGCCGCAGCGTGGGCTGCTTGGCCCAGGCCTGGGACCACTGACAGCTGCTTGTGCTGCCTGCAGGGTGTGCGGAAGGAGCTGGGTGGACAGGCCCGGGGATGGGCCAGCCTACACCCCCACTCCTGAGGGCTCCCTGCCACCCTAGTGTCCCTGGCACTAAGTGTCCCTGGGGCTGAGATGGTGGAGCGCGGCTAGGGATGGAGGTGGACTCGGGCCAGGCCTCCTGGGTGCTGGAGCTCTAGGCAGCTTTGCCCACCTGACAGGTAGACAGGACAAAGCTGCCCACTGGCTTCTGTCCAGGGCGGTGTGGCCTGGATCTGGAAGACGATTCTCTGCTGGGGCTCTTGTTCAGGCCCGAGTCCCAAGAGCTCACAATCCTAGGAGAGAGCGGGTTCACAGCAGAGACACCCACTCGCTCCTCCACTCCCAGTGGCCCACAGCATGGCTCTTTTGGACCCAGCTCTGCGAGTCTCGCCAGGCAGTGCCTTCTGTCCTCTGCTGCTGCCCTCTTGCTCCTGCTGTGCCCTGATATGGCCCTGGCTCTGTGGCTCTTCCAAGTTAGCTGTGAGGTCTGGCTCCTGGTGGCAGCACAGGGGCCAAGGGGCGGAAGGGTGCACACCTATCTCTACCTGTTCCGGGGCTCCCCACTGGGGCCAGCACCCTCCCCATCACAGCTGCTGCCGCCCCCACTGCCACCATCGGCAAGGTGGCTGTTAGAGGTCAGGTTGCAGCGCAGGACTGGTCCCTCAGTACTGGGAAGGGGAACAGGGGAGCCAGGGGGAAGGGCTGGCAGCTCCTGCCTAGATGTGCCGGGCTGGTCCCAGGAGGCTGTCCGGGGGCTGAGGCCGTGCTCTGCCAGTTGGGAGGGTTCTGGAAACAGTCCCCGGGAGGTGGAGGGCTGAGGCGAGGAGGTGCGGGCAGCCCCTGACTCTGTGCCCGTCTGGGAGCTGCGGTGGATGCGGTGGCTGACAATGATGTTGTTGCCAAAGCCACCCATGGAGGCCATGGTGGTGCTCTGCTCCCGCTGCACAACAGCGGTCATGCCCCCCTCCGCCATCAGCCTCTGGATCCTGCTGAGGGCGTCCTCGCCGCTGGCGCTGTACTCTGAGCCCTCGCCTAGAAAGCAGAGAGAAAAATTAATTGTGGTCCTGGGCCTGAGCTGGGGGTTCTGGTGAAAACCAGGGAGACCCAGACGTGGTGGCACTTGTCATGCCACCATGATGGAGGCTGAGGCAGAACTGCTGCAAGTTTGAGGCCAGCCTGGACTGCACAGGGAGTTCAAGGCCTAAGTGAGACCCTGCATAAGTGAGACCCTGTCTCAAAAAACCAAAACCGGGACTGGCGAGATAGTCCAGCAATCTAAAGCACCTGCTTAGGCAAGCTTAGGCAGGTACACAGGGACCGAATTCATCCCTGGCACCACATGTCATGCCAGCCCCACCTCCAGGGTGGGTTGAGCCAGCAAAAAACAAAAACGCGCCCCCCCAACCAAAAAAAGACAGAGAAAGGGCCCAACTCTGTCACCAAGAAAACCAGCCTTGAAAGCAACAATCAGGTTTACACCTGGTGAGAGCACTGAGGCCGAAGGTGGATGAGGTGGCCAAGTCTTTGGGGGAAAGCAGCAGCCGGCAGGGAATGGTGGGGAGGCCAGCTGCCCACTCCACTTCCTCTTGCATCTTCCAGGAGCAGAGCTTGGCACTGCTGAAAGCCCCTTTGGAGCGGAGCTGCAGCTGTGCCCGCCAAGGATCCTCCCCTCTCCCTGTCCCAAGTGGCCTTCACAGGTGTGCCCAGGGATCAGGCTCCAACTTGTGCTCCAGGCAGGGAGAGCAGCATTCTGTTCCCCTCAAGGACTGAGCACCCCACTGTGTGAAGTCAGAGTTAGGCTCCAACCCAAGCTCTGCCACACACTTGCTGACTGGCCTTGGCCAGAGCCCTTGACACCCATGTGGCACAGTGTGAGACAGGAAATGGGACCTGCATGCAGTGCAGCATGAAGGGTCTGCCCGGGCAGTGCCCACCATGAGGGCCCTACCTAAGGCACCCAGGCTCCAGGAGTGGTGCTGGTGGACCTACTAATGTACTTCCTTTGGCTATGTGCTGATTATGAAGGGTTTTGTAGCTTTGGGGTAGCTTGTAGCTTTTGTGTAAAAAGCTTGTTTTTAAGGCATTTGTTATTGAAAACTTGATTTACTTTTTGAGACAGGGTCTTATTCTATAGTTCAGGCTGGCCTTGAATGCATGGAGATCCTCCTGCCTCAGCCTCCCAAATGCTGGGAGTCCAGTTGTACACCACCACACTTGGCTGTCATCTTTGTCCCTGGGCCCCTCTTTTGCTTGCCTCCTTTGAGGTGGATTTCCAGGTCAGCCACTCCCAGTTGAGCTGTGTCTAAGGCCCCATTCATCTTACCACTCCCATGCATGCCTGGCAGCCCTGTGCTCCAGGTTCTTGCTCCAGGTCTTATTACTCCCCCTAAGTAAAAGAGCAGTGGGGGCTTCAGCTCCCAATGACCTTCTTCTTTCAGAGGTCCCGGCAAACTCTGCAGTTGGTTCTCAAGCAGCTGCCCTAACCCACATTTTTGGAGTAGCTGAGCTCCAGCTTCCCAGGTGCAGCAGGAACTCCCAGGGCTCGGAGGCTCTCTAGATGCAGCTCACATGGACAGAGAAGGAAGAAAGGCTGCAAGGGTCTCAATGTGGGACAGTGTCCTGTGCTCGTGGCAGCCCTGCTGCTCTCCAATTGCTCTCTGAAGAACTTCCAGGTCTGGGCTGGGGAGTAAGGCAAGCTGGCTTGGGGCTGGCTGGCACTGAGACTCACCACACTGGACTCTGTGCCTGGTGAACTGAGCTCCTTTCCTGGAGGTCATGCCATGGGTAATAGCTGGCTGCCCTGGGGCCCCAACATAGAGCCACTGCCCAGCCTGGCTGCTAGCGCTCAAGTCTGCTCTTGCCCACTGCCTGCCAACAGCTCTACCCACTGACTATGGTGGCATCTCCTAATGGTCTTGCTTCTGGCCAGTACCAAGCTGCTGCCATTGCCAACCTGACTTAGTGTGTGGTTGAAGCCAGCAGCTCCATGAGTCCTCCAGTAGTCACCCCTTTGTCAGACAGCTGAGTGGCCCCCCACTGTCCTGGTCTTTCCCTTTGGCAGCCATCCTTGTACCTTGGTGACCATTACCAGAGCAGAGCCTGCTGTCCCAGGCTCAAGTCTCTGCAGGTTTTAGCTTAGGTGGAACAGCTGCCACTTGGGAGCTCAGATGGTGCTGCATGCCCCTGAGTTAGGGGTGGCTGTGGCATTTGTCTTCTGGGCAGGTCGCTCCTGAGAGTCTTTGGCTAGGCTTTACTCATCTGTGTCCAACATGTAAGATATGGGCTGGCAAGCAGTAGGTACTTGTTAATTAACTGTACAGATGAGAAAAGGGCTCCTGGGCTGCACACAGGGGCTCTGGACATGAAGACTTGGAGAAATAGTTATCCATGCTAGAGGCAACGCATTCACACATCTACTTCCTTTCTGGATTTTCTCTGGAAGGGACAAGTCATGATGTCTTTATTTCTGAATGTGATTCCCTCTCCCACCCCCACCCAACACACCACCAGACACAGAGTAAGTGCTCAAAACAGATTAGATGGGAGCTCTTGAAATATGCACAGGAGTGGTTCCAGGGCGGTGTGGATAGCTTCGGTCCAAGGCCATGTGCTGTGCTGCTCTCCTGGGAATGCAAGCCAGGCTGAGAGCCACTGTTGGCAGCTGGCAGATCCTTCAGGAGCAAAAAACACTGGAAAATGGCTCCAGCAACAGTGGGGGCCACAGGGGCCAAAATTCAGCTGTCTCCTCCACATCAAAAGCATTTCTCCTGGTTTTTTGAAAAATGGGAGATTGATTTAGTGCCGAGATGAGATCTCTTCCTTGGTAAGTTTTTTTTTTTTTTTGAGACCAGATCTCACTATGCAGCTCAGGCTGGTCTCACACTTGCAACGACCCTCCTGCCTCAGGCTCCAGAGTGCTAGGATTACAGGCTTGTGCTACCAAGCTCAGCTACCACTGGCAAGTTAGTGAGTGCATTCTGGACACAGAGGTCAGGGTGGGCCCAGCTGCTTCCCACAATTCCCAGAGACCACATTAATTCTGGGTTTTCACTGCCCCAAGGAACAGCACAAGGTAAACAGAGACCCACAAGTGCCTCACTCTGTGCACAGTGCAGTGGCTTTGAATCTGTACCCTGCAGGTGCCATCTCTTCTGTCAGCAGTGCCCTCTGCCCACTCTGCCCACCTTCTACTCAGTCTGTAGGACTCAGCTCAGGGCCACCTGCTCCAGTCATCCTTGTCACTGCTCCAGATCAGTCTCTGTTTAGACTTCGAGCTCCGGGGGTCTAGCAGGAGTCTGACCAGAAACCCTTTGGGGAAGTTCCTTTGTCTGGATATACATATATATTTATTTATTTTAGTGGAACCAGGGATTGAACTCAGACCCTTGCACTTGCCAGGGAAGCACTTATTCTACTGAGCCATCTCCCCAGCCCCTAGCTCCTCTAAGGTGTCAAGTGGCATTGGCTACACTGATATGCAGGCTCTGGAGAAGAGCTCATAGGCTATGAGGACCACAGCTCAAGACCACAGCTGGCTGCCCGGTCCCCAGCAGGGGGTTTCCACATCCTAAAGAGCCACAGAGCCAGATGCAGGAGAGGACTGGGCTACAGACCAAAGAGGGACAGCACTTTTCAGTTTATCCTTGAACATTTTCAGCTGAGTGAGAGGGCCAGTGCTCCACAGGGAAATGCACTATAGAAAGCCGCTCCACGGGCCACACAGGCAAATCTGTTATTCTTTGCCTGATAAACACAGGACTTCTCCCCCTTGGGCTCTTAAGCAAATGGCTCCACAGTCCCTCTGTTTGGAGCTAGGAGCAGCAAGGGGGCTAGGGCAGGGGGTAAGGAGGGAGAAAAGAACCTATTTAGCACAGTTGCGGAGGGCTCCAGAGTGGCTGGGCCCTACCACTGAGAAGTGCTAATTGGTTCTTAAAAGTGTGAGGCCAGCTCAGCCAGCCAGTGTGGAGCCTGGGGCAGCCACACCTGGGATAGGTGAGAAGAGGGGCCCTGCCCTCTGCAGCCACACAGCAGCAAAGCCCAGGTGAACAGGAGTCCCACATTTCCCTGTGAGGCAGCCCACTGCTGGGGGAACAGGTCATTATGGGTCTGACCCTGGGAGCCCATGGCCTGGGCTCTGAGTAAAAGGCTCAGAGCTGCTTCCTGTGCTCTCTGGAAACTAACCTGGGTCCCCTGGGCTTTGGACAACAGGGAGGTCAGGGCCCCTGGGGTGAGTGAGCAGAGCTGCCAGAATAGCTCAGCATCCCCGAGACAGTGGTGCGGCTCTCCTGCCACCAGGTGGGCATTGCTCAGGCCTGAGGACACAGCCCCACGCAGACTCCTCTAGCAGTGTGGCTCCTACCTTCACCAGGACCCGTGGGTGCTGTCCCCTGCTCTTGCTCTTCCCTCTCTGTCTGTGTCTCGGCATTCTGCAGCTGTAGGGCCAATGTCTGGGTGCCTTGAGAGGTCACGGAGGTGGTGGGGTTTCTGGGCTGCAGCCCAATGGCATTCATCAGGCCCATGTCTCTGTCTGTCCTCCACGTAGCTCTGCTGGTTCTGGGGAGACAGACTGGGGTCAAGCCAGGCATGGGACAGCACTTGCAGAGAGTTCTAGAGCTCTCAACCTGCAGGGTTATGGCCAGTGGGGTCTCTCCACTACACTCAGTCCCTCTCTGGCCACACAAGCATCCAATCTCAAGGACCAGTTATTTCAGTCCTTCTTATAAAAGCAATAAGCAACTGGGGTGGTTGCTGACCTGGAAACACTCATCTAGATTCAGAATGTGACTAAGAGATCAGTGGGACAAAGGTGACCAGGAAGGAAGGTCCTTTCTGTATTTAATTTTACTTCCTAACTGTATGCCAGTTCAAATCTCTGTACTTTCCAAGTGGACCAAGCCCCTGACCTTAGAAAGTACTGGGCTCTAATAAGGTGGTTCTGGGATCCTCTCCAAGGCCTTCTGAGCTTGCCATGGTGGTGCACGCCTATAATTTCAGTACTCAGAAGGCTGAGGCAGGAGGAATCCTACAAGTTCCACACTATCTTTTTTTTTTTTTTTTTTTTTTTTGTGGGACCAGGGATTGAACTCAGGACCCTGAACTTGCCAGGCAAGCACTTATTCTACTGAGCTATCTCCACAGTCCCTCAAATTTATTTTTATTCATTTATTTATTTATTTTTTGGCAGAACCAGGGATTGAACTCAGGCCCTTAAACTTACTGAGCCATCTCCCCCGCCCCACACTTTACCTTAAAAATAAAACAAAAACAAAAAACCAAGCCTTATAAATACAGCCCGTGCAAGGAGGAGGGCCCAAGGCATTTCTCAGACACTTGTCTTTGGGACTGCTAGAGCTGACAACAGAAGAGGTCCCAGATATTTCTAAAAAACTTTTTGAGACAGGGTTTTGCCACGTAGTTCAGGCTGGCCTTGAACTCATGGCAATACTCCTGCCTCAGCCTTCCCAGTGCTAGGATTATAGGTATGTGTCACTATGCCCAACCAGCCCAAGACCTTTGAGACTGTTACCAGAGATTCACATTTCATATTTTTGAAGGACTGTTCCTTCAGCTGCCCTGCAATTCCTACAAGAAGCGGGGCCCTGCAATTTATTTTCAAATGTTCCAGTTTTCACTAGTGAATTAGGTAAAGAATATCAATGCCAGAATTCTACTCTCACTGGTCTCTGGAAGTGCTCTGTCTCTGGCTGCTGCCCTGGGCTGTCTGGCAGCTAGGGCCTTGTCCCCTGACACCACCCTGCCATGTCCTACATGTATCTCTGTGGGCGACGGAGCAGACCTCACGTGTGGCCTTTCCCCAAGGCTTCTCTCCTTGGCCCACATGTGGCCAGACACCATGGCCAGGAAGGGAAGGCATGGGTATTCTAGAGCAAGACCCCAAGAGCAGAGGTGTTGCTCTTTCTTACCATGAGATAAGACTATGCAAGCATTCAAAGGAGGATCAATTAGGAGCTGTGCCAGCTGCAAAGGGACCCAAAGCCCTGGACACAACCTGAGGGTGTCACTCCAGAGTCCACCACTGGAAGAGGAAGGGATGGGCCTGCACCAGCTGCAAACTCCCACTGCGGCTTACCCAGGCCGCTCGCTGCTCCTGTTGTTGGAATGCACAGTGAAGACTGTCTCGTTCAGCTGGTCCCAGTAGTACTCAACACCAGAGTTCAAGGCCCTGGAAATCAGCAGGAAAGGTGAGAAGAGAGAGGAGGAGGTGTCAGAAAGGAGTCCTGACTAGGGATTGTGGCCTAGCAGCCCAGCCTGCCCCTCTCCTGGGCAGGACGGGGACCAGGAGCAGAGAGAGATGCTCTGAATCCTGGCCAGCCGCTTCCTTCCTCCTCACAAAGCCAGACTGGCTCTTCCTAAGGTTCAAGAGGCAAATAGAAAATAGTAACAGAAACAGGCAGTGGGTCCCAAATGTTCTTCAGACATCGAGAAAGACACTAATGGCAAAGGAGAGGCTGCAGAAGGCCTGCTGGAGAGACTGCCAAAGGGATGGTGAGTCTTCAAAGGCTGGAGTCCCTGAGACAGACTGCTTGGGGCTGTACCTTGGGTCATTTCCAACTGCTGTAAGGCTGTGGGAAGGGGAACAAATATCTCAACATTCTTCATGTGCCCGGAGCTCAGAAATCTGAGCAGAAGAAAGCCCTCACTGAGGTGTTTTTTCCCCTGAGGACACAGCCTCTTTGGCCTGGTCGGCAGGATGTGCACTTGGGACCAAGTAGTTGGAGCCAGAGGAGCTGGGGAGATGGCTCAGTAGAATAAACGCTTCCCTGGCAGGCGCAAGGGCCTGAGTTCAATCCTCGGCTCCACCAAAAGAAGAGACAGCCTCTGGGTGCCAGTGTTCCTGGCAGAGGGGGAAGTGGTACTGCTGAGCCCAGAGGCTGCCCATCATTCCCAGGACCAGACTATCAGGTGCTGCTTCTGGTCTCACCAGGGAAGAAGCAGTGGCCTCTTTTTAGCCTTGTCTGCCACTGCAGGCAGCAAACCTGGCCAACAGTGGTAGCCCTCCCTTCTTGCAGAGATGTAGCTTCACATTAGTTACTGTGATGAACAGCAGAATGTGACAGTGGCTCTGAAGTATGGAAACAGGAGAGGTTTTGTGTGTACAGAACTAAGGATCGAACTCAAAGCCTTTGCACTGACTTCCACCCTATCCTTTTTTATTTTTTATTTTTTATTTTATTTTTTATTCTGAGAAAAGGTCTTACTAAGTCACTAAGTTGCCCAGGCTAGTCCCATGTAGAATTTGAAACAGTCAAACCCTAAACAGGATGCACATGTTCTTGGAGGCTCTGCCATAACTGTATCCTCCAACTTCATGCACTGCAGCTACCCCAAGGGTCCTCAGGAGGGGAGCACAGAAAGGTCAGTCGTAGGATGGGAAGTGGTTGGGTGTGGAGGTGCACGCCCACAATCACAGCCTTAAGGAAGGCCGAGGAAGGAGGATCCAGAGTTTGAGGCCAACCTGGGCAGCTTAGAGAGAACTACTTCAAAAAACAAAGAAGATTGGGCTCTGAGAAGAGTGAAAATTGCCTCTCCAGTTTGCAGGGGCACAGTGAAGAGGTCATGTACAGCCAGAGCAGCAATACTTTGCAAATCCAAGGAGACAAGCACTTGGATCTGGGTGGGAAAGTGACTACCTGGAGTTGACAGCCTGTGTGCATGTATCTGTCTGCCCACCTGTCCATGTGTTTTAAGTTTTTTTTATTTTAAAGATAAGGTCTTGCTAAGTAGGTAGCCATACTGCCCTGAAACTGCCACCATCCTGCCTCAACCTCCCAAGTGCTACCATGCCTCATTTACGATCCAGTTTTTAACATGGAGGGATGGCTCAGACTCCCTTAACAGGACAGGGTTGATGGGGCCTGGTTGAGCGTAGGCTACATTAGGAGACTGTGCTACCTTAGTAAAAGGCCACAGGAGCAGGCCCTAACAAGGTGACATTAGGGAAGAGGCAAATGGCCAGAAGTCAATAGCAGAGGCCCCTAAAAACAGTCATCATTGTACTTTTTTGTTGAGCAAATCCTGGCTGCATTAGGCATTATGTGAAGCCAGCAGCCAAGATGCTTCTGATTTACAAACTTGTCAGGATTTATTGACAGGCTGCAATACAGAAAGCCCCTGCCAAATCTCTCCTCTGTAATTCTCGGTAGCCAGGGCTAGTAGCTGACAACAAATTGCTCACATCATACCTACAACAAACTGAGGGCCATGTGACCAGGACCTGCCTTGCCTCAGCAAGGCATATCAGAGTGAAAGGGTCTGAGCTGGGTTATCAACATGGTGCCGGTGGCCAAGAGCCCCTCCAACATGTTCCAATCAGGCAGTTTTGCTCAGTGGTTGTGCCACCAACCACTGTGTCTAGATGTCCCCCCAAAGCTTCACTCAGTCACAGGTGTGGCTTTTCAGAGGTGGCTGAATTTAGGGTGTATGCTGCCAAGGACAAGGGTGTGATCCTGGGACTGATTCATGGTGTATGTTAGGATTAAGGCTGCCCACCCTGAACATGAGTGCTACCTCCCTAAAGGCTGGAAGCCTGGGTAGGACATAAGGGACAGAAAGAGGGTAACTGCTTGCTGTCTTCTGCCTACTATGAACCCATGAACTCTTTCTCCTCTGTGATGCCCTTCTGCCATGCCACCCTGCCTTGGTGCCAGCCAATTACAGAGTGAAACCTTTACAAACCTATGCCAAGTTTTTTGTTTTTTTTTTTTGCCTTAGCAATGAGAAAAGTAACTTGGTCACTGAGTAACTTGCTGACAGGGTCACCTGCTAACCAGCAGGGGCCAGTCACTGCATGTGTGGCATAAGTGGCTCTCCTACTGCTACCCAGCCCACCTTCTTCATATCAGCCTAACCACCTGGTGTGCTCCCCGGCCGTGGTCAGGAACCTGACAAAGGCAAGTGCATGGAATTGAGATTCGGGCTCTTGTGGCAGGCCCTGTTGAAGACACCTGCTCTGGCTCCCGGACCCAACCTTCAGTGCCCAGTGTTGCTGATTCCATCTTTAAGGTGAACAATGATGCCACCACCTTCTTCCTTCTGAGTCTTGTAAAGAGGCTCTTCCCTGGGGACCAAGCAAGTACACAGAGGGTAGCAGAGCAGGACGGCCACTGGGACAGCCTCTCCAGGCAGACTTCCATTCAATACTGCTTCCTTTGGTGGCATCTGTAAGCAAGGCTTCCAGGAACCTTGGGAGAGCCAGGCTGGCTGCCTCAGTGCCTCCTACACTGTCCACACAATGGTGCTCTGAACGTCCTGCCTTCTGGGGATTACTCTTGTTGAGGACACTCGTGCTTTATCCATCACTCACAAGGTTGCAGAGGCCAAGACCATACCACTGTCTCTATGGAAAGGAGGACACTTCCCACAAGACTGGTGTCTTACCCACTAGACTCTGCTGCCTGGCGCTAGCCTCAGAAATGGATCCTGGGGGCAACTCTGGCTCTTCTTTCCATTCAGAACAGGACTTTCCCCTTGAGCAAGGCTAGAGCTTTTGTCCCCACACTTGGCATCCCCTGCCTCACCCTATTTTTCTTTTCTTTTCTTTTTTTTTTTTTTGCGGAACCGGGGATTGAACTCAGATCCCTGCATTTGCCAGTCAAGCGCTTAGCCTACTGAGCCATCTCCCCGGCCCCATGGATTTTTTTTTTTTTTTGTTGTTGTTGTTGTTGTTGCTCGCATGCCTTCAGGGCACGTTTGGCCAGCGGGAGAGTTGTGAGGTTCGAACTCCAGCCACCTGAGGCTGACAGCTTTGTGGAAGCAGCCACTTAAAGGACTGAGCTACGCCCAGGCTCCCATTCACCCTATTTTTCTTGCACCACAGTCCCTCCATTCTGTTTCCTAGGCTGGCCCAAGAAGGAAAGGTCTTCTGTCAATACTGGGCTGATCTATGGGGCCAGATGAGCCGACACCCTCATGTCAGCCTGGTGTTTCACACCTCATCTGGCCCATGGGGTGGCCACTAGCCAAGGCTGTGGCAGATTCCGTGGGCAGCAGGGTGTGGGGAGTGGTGCCCCTCACTGTGAGGAAGGGTGGGTTTGGGGCTCTCAGTTCCCCTGGGCTGAAGAGCCAGCTGTTAGTCTCTTGTCCCAGAATTCCCCCCTGGTGGGATTTGCACTGGCTGAGGCCTCTGGTACCTCCAGGCCATGCCTAAGGATCCTATTCTGTCTGCTCAGCACTCTTGACAAGAGACAATAGTGGAGAATCAAGAGCAGTATTGAGAGCACAAAATGAGGTGCAGCTGCCTGCGCCTGGACAAAGACAGACAACCACCTGTTTTGCCAGCAATCTTGGCCCAGCTGGCAGCCTGGATCCTGTGCCCTTGGGAATGGGTGTGCCCAGAGCTGCGTCACTTAGGGACCGACAGCCAGCTGCCTGTGAGAAAGAGCCACCCTGAGCACTTACTTCCCCACTGACTTGTTCTCAATCTAGGCCCATGAACTTTCAAACGCTGTTCAAAAGCTGTCACTGTTCTCACTGATCTGCTCACCTCCCACTGTACCGACCCCCTGACCATATCAACACTGAGCTGTGTTCCTCACCCAAGCTCTGAAAGAGCTACAGAAGTATGTGTGTGCTCTTTCAGGAGGAATGGCTTTTACAGAAGGGAGTATACTGCTTTTCTCAGGATTATAAGGCATTGGGATGAACAAAGCTATAAGGTAAGAACTCTGGATTGGAAAAATAGGAAGCCTAGTTCTGTCACTGAGCTGCTGGGAGGCCTGTGGCAAGTCTCAACTTCCTTACTCCTGTCTAAGTCTTTCTTGCCTAAAACAGAACTGATAGATAGGAAGGCGGCTAAGATACAAAAATGATCAAAAACTAAGGAAGCTCTGAAGAGCACAGGACAATTATGCCTACATCAAATTTATTGAGTATCCTAAACTTCAGCACTAGTGTTAAGGAGCTAAATAAAAAATCATAAGAAACTGTAACATCAAAAAAGGCAAGTTATCGATCCCCAGTATGGTGAAAAAGAAAAGAAACAAACATAAAACACAAATTAGGGCCAGGGAGATAGCTCAGTGCAATAGGTGCTTGCCTGGCAAGCGCAAGGGCCTGAGTTCAACCCCCTGGTACAAAGGGAGTGAAAAAGACAGGTTAACAGGGCCAGATAGCACACACCTATAATTCCAGGACTCAGGAGGCTGAGGCAAGAGGCTGAAGCAAAAGGATTACTGCAAGTTCAAGACTCGCCTGCACTACATAGTGAGTGTAAGGCCAGCCTGAACTATGTAACAATAACCTGTCTGGAAAAAAACAAAGAACAAAAGAAAGGTTAGCCACTGAGGCAGGAGGACTGCAAAATTGAGCCCAGCCTGTGTAATTTAGAGATTTAGCAAGACATGGGTGGAAATGGAGCTTAAGGTGAAGACCCCAGCATAGGGAAGGGAAAGAAAGAAAAAGAGAGAGAGAGAAAGAGAAGTGCTTTCCAATCTGGGACCACAGACAGCCCAGGAGAAGAGCAAAAACTGGCTGGCCCAACAACTGGGCTAGCCATGGCACAGGTCTGAAAACAACTGTGTTCTGCAAAGATACAAGGAGATCATGAAAGACATTGTCTGGACTCAGCCTCTGAGAAACAAGTGGCTGGCAGAACAAAGCATGATCCCTGCTCCAAGAGCAGCTTGATTTAGTGAGGCTTAGGTGGCAGCCTCTCATTGGGAGGGGCATTAAATGTCTACTGCAAGAGCTGTCCTTAGAACCAGATCTTCTTTCTGCAGGACCTGACCTACCTCAGCTGACAACAGTCAGTCACCACCTGCCCACCAGGCCCCAAGCACTGAGTTGGGTGTAGTGTGTGTACTTGTAGCCCTAGCAGCTGGAAGGCTGAGGCAGCACAACTGCAAGAAATTGAGATCAGGGCTGGTGAGATGGCTCAGTGGTTTAAAGCACCTACTCGGAACAAGCTTAGCAAAGCACAGGGACC